TGGTTGGTTGGTTGGTTGGTTGGTTGATGGTTGGTTGGTTGGTTGGTTGGTGGTTAGTTGGTTGATGGTTGGTTGGTTGGTTGGTTGGTTGGTTGGTTGGTGGTTAGTTGGTTGATGGTTGGTTGGTTGGTTGGTTGGTTGGTTGGTTGGTTGGTTGACAGCTGATTGACAGGCGTGTCTCTGTGCAGCCATCTTGCAGGGCGACACCCTGGAGGAGATCTACGATCAGGTGAAGCAGATCATCGAGGAGCAGTCGGGTCCGTTCATCTGGGTTCTGTCCAAGGAGAAGTTATGAGATGTTCCGTCTTCATCACTCCTCTTCTTCACGCTGACTTTAGTTTTATTTTGAAAAGAAGAGTCGACCTGCAGACTGCAGCCTCTCCCCTCCACCCCCCTCAGAGATCAGCAGACATGTTTCACCTGACTGGGACTCCTGAGTATAGCACACAGGAAGTGACAGGAAGTGACATCACACTCAGCACGGTACGCTCCTTAATGTTTAAGGAAGGAGAATTTCACAGGAAGAGAAGAAAAGTTCACGGAACGTACGAAGCAGTTTTTATCCTGTTTTTTTTTTTTTTTTTTGTGGGTTTTTTCCCCTTCTTTTGTCTTGTAAGGTAACTGGGTGGGCGGAGCCTCAGTCTGAGGCAGAGGTAAGGTAACCAAGTGGGCGGAGCCTCAGTCTCAGGCAGCATTTTATTGGATGTGAGGAGGAAGAGACACAAAAAGCAAAACTTTGCACGTTTGAGCTTTAACAGCATGTCAGTTAAACAGTTTATTTCCCATCAGCCCTTTCACCTCAGCGTCTGACGGCTTCTTCCTTTTCTGTATTTTTACCTTCTTTATTTTATCCTTGCTGCTGCAGGACGTTCGTCTGGACGCTGCAGGGTCTCTGCTGCTGGAGGCGCCCAGGACTTTACCCAAATATTTAAATAAACTCATTCAGTTTTAAAATTAAATCTCAAATCTTTAGGTCAGATTTTATTTATAAAATAAACCTTTTTCTATTCAGGAATCAGATTATATAAAGTTTAGTGCCAAAAAAACTAAAGATTAGAAAGAAAAGAATTATTTGCACAAAATCTAATTTAAAAACTGTAAAATAATTTAAATCTAAAACAGAATTAATC